TCCTTTACGTCTTTAATAAGACACGGGTTGAGGAAGGAATTCATTTTAGCCCCAGGAGTAGGCTAGCTGGTCTTCCAAAAGAGACCTTGTGTCTTACTGGTTTGGGAGGTGAAAGCCGGGCTGCCGAAGGCCGCGTGTTCTGGGCGAGAAACAGCCCCTGGGAGTGTTTATTTCTTGTTTGGATTGCAGGTTCCAGGAAGAATTAGGAGAACCTCCCCGCACCATGCTCTGAAGAATGCTTCACGGTACCCGTTCCTCCCGAGATGAAAGCCGGATGCTTTCTGAGCTCTGCAGCAGAAAGTTATTCCTATTTCTATTTATTTATTTATTTATTTATTTGAAATTTTTTTTTAAAAAAAGAACATTTCTTACTCTAGCGTCAAGAGACCATCTTTAAATAAAACTAACACGTTAGACACCTCTGCTGGACCTCTCTCCTGTCTGTCACATTAAAATTTCCTAAAGCCTGTGTTTCATCGGTACTCTTGTACCCCTGAGGCTGTATCTTTCTTATACAAGATGGAGAAAGCATGAACTCGGTAGAACCAAAAATGAGTTTTTCACCAGAGTTTTTCCCTCACTAAGAAACTGTAAGAGATAAGCAGCGAGGAAAGCTTGCTTAACGATGAAAGACCAGCGTGAGTCCTCCTATAGACAGGGTTTCAGTAACAAGAGGGTCCTTCTGCCAAGGTCCCTTCAGTCAAGGGAAGTGCCACAAATCCCTCACGTAAGCAAAACTTACGTGAAAAGAAATAAGAAAAATCTTAACACTCCACGAGTTTCAAGATAACCAGAGGGAGGAAAAGGGAATTCGTTGTATATGCTTTCTAGCACTGCCCAAATAAAGGCTACGAGCATCACCAGAAAGATCCATCCTTACGCGTGTCTTGTCTCACTCCGCATGTGGCTGAGGTGACAAATCCTCCGTGGGTTTGGGGATTTCTCAGGCAAGGGCAGGCGGGACCCCTCTGGTCATAAAGCAGCTGGTGAAAAACATCCACCCCGTGCTGGGAACGGCCCCTCTAGACGTGGCCGATGGGAACCCTGCAGGGCTGAGAAATGTTTCTCTCGAGCCTTTGTAGCTCGAGATCTGACCTGGGATCCGGATTTGGCCCAAACCACACTCTCTCTGCCACCCCCCTCACGTCCAGGGAGGTGACACTGCCAGGACTCCACTCCGCCAGCACCCTGGGGACCGAACAGCTCGTGTGCCCGGGTCAGCACCGAGCCCGGGCTCCACGTAACCGCCCTGTGACCCGCGTACCGCTAGAGACCGCGCTGCTTTGAGCATCGGACTTTGGGTCCTGCTCCCAGCGTCAATCAGTCGAGCGTGCCGGGGCTGAGAACACAGCAGCAGCGGGACACACCGAACGCAGAGACAAGCTACCGAGGTCGAGGTACACGACATGCACGGCTCTCCCTCCATCGGCCCGTTTGGTCGAAGGATATCAGGTTAGCCAGGCAAGATTTCTGGTAAATCCGTGCTGGCTGCTCCCGATAACCTTCTTCTCCTCCAATTGATTAGAGATGGCTTCCGATTTTTTTTTCCATCACCTTCCCAGGGCTGACTGGTCTGTAGGTGCCAGGATCCTCCTTCTTGCCCTTTCTGAAGACTGGAGTGACATTGGCTTTTTTCCAGTCCTCAGGCACCTCTCCCTTTCCCCTTGATTTTTCAAAGATGATGGCGAGCGGCTCAGCCACACCATCAGCCAGCTCTCCCAGCACCCGCGGGCTTTCTGACTTCCCTGTGTATGTGCACCCAGGGACAGGAGTGGCGCGGGGCCGAGCCGGGCTGCGGGGCGCCAGATGTGCCGGAGCCAGGGCAGCTGCTGGCAATGGCTCTCAGGAACCCCGGTTGCAGCAGAGCTGCGAGCGTGAGTGCTGAAGGGCTCAGCGCTCCCGCATGCGCCTCTTCACAGCTCAGGCTGCTGTGCCACTTGTGTCACACGCCACGTTTCTGACAAGCCGCCCTCCCCGTCACTGCCTGGGCTGCTGACACAGCCACCGAGAGGTCCCGGTGTGCTTTGTGCGGTGCTGAGCCTCTTGGTTCTTCCCGAGGAAGTCTAGTCTGAGGGAATCATTTTGCCCCACTCCGATGGGAAACAACACCCAGCGAGATGGAAATCATGTCAGAGCTTCTCCTTCCAGCAAGCGCTCTGTGCATGAGTTTCCCTGTCGGGAGAGCAGATTTCCAGGTCAATGCTCCCAGCAAAAAGCTGCGGGGACTTTGTGTTTACTCAGAGGTGGTTTCACAAGTCGAGGCGGTGTGAAGTCACTCTTCGGGGACCCTATGTGGAGGCAGGAGTTCCAAACACACCTCTGCGGGCACCTGCTGCCGCTGCAGCAAGGTGGGGACACGCGGGTGATCCCTCCGCACCAGCAACGAGCAAGAGCCTGACTCACCATGTGCTGTCCCAAAGGAAAGGAAAAACAATCCCCGCACTCTAACAATAACAGCTCTTGCTGAAGCTCAATTTTATCCAGTCAAGCAAAACCTGCACAGACACTATAAATTGTCCTTCCCTGTCAGCCCCTCAAGGCACAAAACAGTTCAGTGGAATGTGCTAAAAACGGCCAGAAGAGTTGGCACTGCCCGACCCAGAACCAGGTGGGTCCAGTATTAAGAGCAAGCCAGTTCCCGGTGGAACAAGTCTGTATTGGCTTGCGGGCAGCATGTTAATAGACCCTGCAGCCTGGGAGAGCCTAATTGAGAGCAGGCAGTCCAGGAAAAAAGCACCTCTCTGGCTGGGTTTTTACTGCTGCTCCCATAAACACACTGAGCTGTAAAGATGCCCCCAGGGAAGTCTCACAGTCAGGGCAGGACAGGGCTGCACC